TGAATTTAAAACGCCTAAAGTTTGAAGGCATTTTACAAAATGCCTAAATTTAGAAAATGCCTGTAACATATATAACTTGACATTAAAGTTAAATGTTGAAGTTGGTCGTTACAATAATATTCCGAGGGAAAATCGTCTTTGTAGATGCTGTAACATTTGTGCTATTGAAGATGAATATTATTTTGTTCTTGTTTGTCCAGCTTATAGATCTGTGCGAACACAATGTTTACCAAAGTATTTTTTGTTTTTTGTCTAATGATCATAAACGTTTGTATTTACGTCAGCGTCTCAGAGTAAGTCTCTCACTATTAAATTATGTAATCATATAAAATCTCAAATAGTTTCATAACTTTACATTTGCCATGATATTTTACTATTGTTTTCTGCTGTCTATCGATGTTTGATATAATGTAATATATGCTGTTAGTTTTGCCATAGCATGTTTATGCTTTTGCAATAAAGATTCATGCATTCATATATTCAGTACGAATAGAGATGACCGTTAATGACCATGCAGAACAGAATAAAGGGCAAAATAAATAAAGAATAGAGAAAAATGATATACAACAATAAAGAATTAAAGGGCCCCCATTCAGATCCTCATTCACTGGCCTTGATTTCACCAGACACATATATACATATACCAGAGACATAGACATATATACATATATATATATATGTCTCTGCATATACATGATATACTTTACACGACGAAAAGAAGAAATTCCTTACAGTTCAGTTTACTAATAAAGGAATTGATGCTATCAACATCAGCAACGTTCTTCATCACAAAGAGGTAACATCTAAAATTCCACTTTAATTTCAAAATCAATCTATTCCTATTGTATCCTACAGTTACACCAAAACCATTGCACCTAAATTATTTAACTATAAGCAAGCATTGCAGGACCTTGATTTAGAAGAACACATAAAAAAACCTCTGACATGTGACTGTTTCCACACGCCTTATATTTACAGCCCCTCTGGTCATGTTATTACTTGGGATCTAAACATAATTCAACATGAACATCTCCGAAAGGTACCGGTGATATCTCATGGTCCTAAGTTCAGAGAACCCCAACACATTAATTGGAACCATAACTTCAAAATAATTATGGATTCCATTGAGGACTACGCCAGAGCATGGGCTAAACGAGAAGAAGTTGAACTGGACACTTTGTCAGAATGAGTCAAAACAATCAGGTCTCTGATAAAACATCGAATTCATAAGTTGAAAAACTGTGTGAATGATCGACCAAAATCCGTTTTCAGAGACAAAGAAGCTGTAAAATGTCTATCATCTCTTCACGATAAATATGTTGTTATATACCTGCGGACAAAGCTTCAAATAATATTGTCTTTATATGTAAATCGTTCTACTACGAGTGTTGTAAAAGAATTAGGAATAAATGAGCACTCGGGTAATCACACACACAAAAACATATCATTTGACAAGGATGAGATTTTGGCGAATCATAAGTCCTTCATGGCTTCAATGAACATTACATTGAACAGTAAGTTCAATGTATTGGATACCTAAGCTTCACAAAAGTCCGTACGAACAACGGTACATTGCCGGCTCATCTGCATGTTCTGCAAAGGAATTGTCCATTAGATTGACAACAATGCTGTCCGCAGTGAAATAGGGTATTCAGAAATACTGTTAACCTGTTTACTCGCGTAGTGGTATTAACCATATGTGGATTCTTAAAAACTCTAAAGAACTTCTGGATAATTTTAAATCTCGATCTTTCTCTGAAATTTATTCTATCAAAACTTTGATTTTTCAACCCTGTATACTAGTACCACCATTCCCTATGTGAAATTGAAAAATTGTCTAAAAGAAATAGTTCACAATGTTTTTCAATATAAAAATGGTAGCATACGCTATAAATTTATTACTTTGGGATACCATACGGCATATTTTGTTAATGGTGAACAAAAGGTAAAACATGCTACACAGGGGAACAAGTGACCAGTATGCTGGAGTTTCTTATTGACAACATATTTGTTGAATTTGGAGGTAGACTGTTTCAACAAATTGTCGGCATTCCTATGTGAACGAACTGTGCGCCTCTCCTTGCCGACCTCTTCTCATTTTCATATGAGTTGGAGTTCCTTCGGACAATTGACAAAAACAAGAAGATCAAAGAAGCCAGACCATTTAATTTCACATTCAGATATATTGATGATGTTCTTTTCATTAACAATCCAAACTTTTCTGTTTAGGTTCCATTAATATATCTTCCAAAACTAGAAATGAAAGAAACAACAGACACGACTTCCTCCGCCTCATTTTTAGACTTATACCTCGAATTTGACATAAGCGGTCATCTCAGTACCAGAATCTATGACAAACGAGACAATTTTAATTATGAAATTATCAATTTCCCCCCACCTTAGTAGCAATATACCAACTTCACCTGCATATGGGATATACATTTCCCCAACTCATTCGGTATGCAAGAGCATGCAGCTGCTACTCAGACTTAATAAAACGTCACCAGTCTGAGCAGAAAGTTGATGAACCAGGGTTGTGTCAATGAACGTCTCGTCCTTTTTCTTAAAAAGTTCATTTGAAGATACCAAGACTTGTTGATAAATATTCTGTATCAACTTCACAAATAATACATGACAGTCTTGAAGTATAGATTCTATGTACTGACGTTGTTTATCATCTTAATTACTTGTTATAGTGTTCTTTTATTTGTCTTTGTAAATTATTAACCTTTACTGTTTAGTCCATTTTTGGTAATATTCTTTTGTCGAGGCTTGGTGCTCATACATCCCGCCATTGTGTTATTGTGCTATGGTCATTTTTTGTATTCTTGTCTTTAATTTTGAAACTCCACTCGCACTCCATCATAATATTGATGACTATGTGTCGTGCATGCGTGGGTAAAATTTACAAATATATATTTACATAAAAAAAAATAAAAAAATAAAGAAATAATAACTTGTTTTTGATTTTCATTGTATATATAAGATAAATTATTTACAAGGTGTTACAATTACATGGTGTAGTACTAGTATTGGTTGAGAACATATGTAGTAATATGTTCTCTGAAGGCTTCAACTGTGGTGCATTGGACAGCAGTAACTGGTAAAAGGTTCCATTGGATGATTGTCCTTGGATAGAATGAGAATTTATATGAGTCTTTTTTTTGCCTGTATGTGCCTGAATGAGTGACTGTGAGTGTATTGTCTTGTTCGACTGTCTGATGGTATTAACAAGTTCGTAGGGTATATTGCTACTTGGTGGTGTATAATTTTGAAGAAAAATATAAGTCTTGTTCTTATTCTTCTAAGTTCAAGCGTTGGCCAGTTGAGATGGTTAAGCATGTTTGTCACAGAGCTGGTGTTATGGTATCGATTGCATGTATACCTGGCTGCTAGTCTTTGGACCATTTCTATTTGTGATTTTTGCGATTTTGTATGTGGGTCCCAGATCATGCAGCTACCATACTCTAGCTTCGGTATCACAAGTGAGATATAGGCCTTTTCTTTAACTGACTGTGACCTGATTTTTAAGGGCATACGATACAGTTTTGATCCCATAATGAAATTTTGATGAAAATGTGCAAATAGGCTATTTTTTATCTGCTTAAATCAAATATGTAATAAAAAATGTACTTTCATGTGCTACTTTTTGAGTAAAATGAGGTCGAAATTTCAGATATTTGCTCAAAATTCGGATTTGTGGACGTATTTTTCCTTCCGACAGAAATGCATAACTTTTTTGTTTTAAAAGATATACACAAGCTGATTTTTGTTAAATTATTAATAATTTCTCTTTTTTTAAAGTTTTGTTTAGAATTACTAGAATTTATCAAATGTTCATGAATGTAGAAAAAAACGTCATTTTTTGCTGTATATTTATCATCAAATTTAAAAAAATTTCATTATTGACTTTTTTCAAGAAAATTGGTACAAATAATCTTCATACGTAATCAAACCGAATGTCATTTTAAAAAAAGAGGTGTCCATGAACTCGTTTAAAAGTTAAATCAGTTTGAATGATAAAAATCAGTCGAAAAATGCATCTTTTCCCGATATGTCACAGTTTGAGGTCGCGAAATAACATTTTACGTTAGCAACGTCATTACCTCCCCTGTAACTGTATCGTATGGTTTCTTTTGATAAAATTAATTTGTTTAGTTGCATTTGCTGTGATGTTACTTATGTGTTTGTTAAATTTTAAATCAGTTTGTATTGTTAAGCCAAGATATTTAGTAGATGTTTCTTGTTGCAAAGTGTGCCCATGTAAGATGTAATCATATGGGAGAGGGGTTTTCTTTGTTGTTACTTATAGGACTGAACACTTGTCCGGATGGAAGGGCATGAGCCAGTCCTCTTCCCACTTTGCTGCTGCTGATAGGTCTTCTTGTAATTTTTCTGAGTCATGTTTATCATCATTTGATGGTTTTGTAAATAATGCTGTCATCTGCGAAAAGTCTTAGAGTGCCATGTTTAATATATTCATAATGGAATTTTATGCGACTGTCATATATAAGTGAGCGGTTTAGCTAGCTATATAACCAGGTTTAATTAATCTTCCATTTTCTATATACTGAGGAAATGCCTGTACCAAATCAGGAATATGGCAATTGTTTTCCATTCGTTTTATGTGTTTGAGCTTTTGGTTTTGCCATTTGACAAGGGACTTTCCTTTTTTAATTTTCATTGGAGATCGGTATTTTTGTTATTTTACTCTACTGTAGATAATCTGAGACTACTATAACACATGTGTTATAGTAGTCTCAGAGATAATATACATCCTTGTTTTACTTTTTTGTATAAATGTCTCTGATTTCACTTGCATCTCTGAGACAACTATACATGTATTTGTATGAACAGAAGTCCGTCAGGATTGACATCTTATAATATTATTTGTCTCTAATAAGATTGCAAAAAAGATGATTTTTAAATTTATAAATGAAACCGCGGGAAATCTTTTCGATTGATCTCCCTTGCATTGTTTTAGCAACAGAAGGCGCTACTGTTTCGGATGCTGAAGATGTTATGATGAATCAGAGACTGGTTAAAAAGGATGCTAAATTTAGTCTGGAAAGTGTTTAATTTATAGAAATTAATGCAATGTCTACCAATAATCTAAAATATTCAAATAGACGCAAAAAACATATTGGATTTACGCGTTATCAACACATGGTTTTGGGTGGAAATTGGAAAATGTTTTCCGGTGAATAGTATTGATCTGTTATATGTTAATGACAGTGGTTCTACTTGGGAAATTTATGTGGCATTTTATTAAGTTTTCTTATAAACGTTTTATGATACAATGTCAAGGTCCCAGCGGATGTCACTTCACAGAGACGAACAGTATGTTGGACCATATAAGCTGGAGAAAACACTCGGAAAGGGACAAACAGGTATCCACATTTTCCAATAATCTGTGTGCCAATGCAATGTGTTTGCACCCTAAACGTCCGAAAAATTCTGATCCACTACACTGATGTTACTGACAGGTTATTGTTAGTACCCTGCTCTTATTTTAAACACAAACCAAATGTATTAAGGTTCATCATAACAAATGGACAAAAATGGCTATATTTACACCTTAAAAACTACTCTGTGTACAGACTTACCTGTCCAGTGTGGAAAGTTTTAAGGCCTGGCATCCACTAGATATATAAAACTTAAATGCATTTTTTGTTTCAGAAAGATATAATCACTTTTGGATTTTGATGGGCATTTTTTTTCCTTTCTGCTGAAGGTGTAAAAATAAACAAACACCTGAATTGCTTTGATACTGTCCACTCAGTTAAACCCTTTAACTCACCTATAGTTGTGTAGATACCTATTGTCTGTCTATTGTCCGTGTCAATCAAGGACAATCAATACAATACAATACAGTTTTTACCTGAGAGGGAGCATCTCAAAGTTTTATCCCAACTTAGTTCATTTTTACACCTTCTGCAGAAAGGAAAAAAAATGGCCATCAAAATCCAAAAAAGATTTCATCTTTCTGAAACACAAAATGCATTTAACTTTTATATATCTAGTGGATGCCAGGCCTTAAAACTTTCCAAAATGGACAGGTAAGTCTGTACACAGAGTAGTTTTTGAGGTGTAAATACAGCCATTTTTGTCCATTTGTTATGATGAACCTTAATTAAGGCAATCTCATTTCATGGTGAAGGAGAAATAAAAAAAATAGCTTCAATTTGCTTTGTTTTTAACCAATGTGTATAATAGGCGATGAAAACTGATGTTCAAGTACAAAAAAATATGAATGATAAACTGTGGACATGTTGAAAATAACTCTTAACCACTAGCATCTATGAAATAACATACCAAAGGTCCACTTTTCTCACAATTCATTTCCATATGCATGGAGTAAAACATATACTACATGTATAAAATGTTGTTTATGTTATTAAACTAATTAATTTTTAATAAATAAAAGAATATCTAGCACATTTTAGCACAGAGAATAATATTTTGTACTAGAATTTCAACTTTAACACTTGACATATTGGCCTGAAATGTTGTGAATGAATCAGGGGCTATCAAAAGTTTGTTATTACATGTATATAACACCAATTCTAATAGCAAAAGACATAAGATATGCATGTATGACATGAGGTAAGCACTGATGTAGTTTCTAACCTGAGACAGAACATCATTATGAACATGGGACAGATTTAAACTAGTTTTTTAAGATAACTACTAAACTGGTCCCATCATCCATTGCCATCAGTCTGGGACTGTTATACTAATATAACTAGTATAATAGTCGTAGCATCAGTGGACTAAAAAAAGTGAATTAAAAGCACTTTACACTTTAATAATGGTATGACAAATAAAGAAAAAATCAAGATCAACCATCACAATGATGAACAATATTAATGTTGTAACTATTCACTAAGATCTATCAAATCATACTTATTTTCGTTCATGTAAAATTTTGTAATTTACATTGAAGTTAATTGACTGATTTCAGGATGATTGAATTGTTGGTATGACATGTAGTATAAAGCCTCTGTACACAGTCAAATGACATGTAGTATAAAGCCTCTGTACACAGTCAAATGACATGTAGTATAAAGCCTCTGTACACAGTCAAATGACATGTAGTATAAAGCCTCTGTACGCAGTCAAATTGATTGTAATTTTTTTTGGCAGAAAAAAGTGAAATTAACTGATAGCACAATCTTTTTTATCACATGTGCATAAAACAGATATCTTACAATTATTTTAAGACATAAAAAGCGTGAGTCAGTTTGTGTAGATACTTTAAACATCTGGTAATACTTTTAATATTCTGACTGCTTCAAACTTTTACAAAATCTAAATTGTATTAATTGTGAGAAAATAATCAGTCTTAAGTCAAAAGTTTAAACCATTGAGGCTACTTCAAAATGAGATGTTATAGCATGTATAGCAACAGAGACTGTGAAGGACTCTGATTCTACAGTCTAAACCAGTTAAAGCTCTTCCAGACTAGTAGGATGAATTTTTTACTGGACGAATGTTTGATAAGGTTTTTATAATTGTCAGTCATATATAATTCAGGGACTACTAGAAACAAAATTTCATAGATGGAGCTTATAAAATAATTTGAATCATTGAATATTTTAAAATTTGTTATACCTTTTGCAATAAACTTGTATACATATATATAAAATTGAGAATGGAAACGGGGAATGTGTCAAAGAAAATACGAGACTAACAAAGGCCAGAGGCTCCTGACTTGGGACAGGCGCATAAATGCAGCAGGGCTAAATATGTTTTGTGGGATCTCAACCCTCCCCCTATACCTCTAGCCAATGTTTATATAAACATACACATGTAATTTTATGACAAAACAATTTAAACTTAATCATAGTGTTTCAATTTATACTGATTACTGTAACAAGAATTAATATCTAAAATTATCTTATATTATCTATCACATTGTGACAGAATATATATGCTGAGAACATCAAGACAGGTGATCCCTGTAAATTATTGATTAACCAGTGAAACTTTGCTAGGACAAGTAAAGCAAAATTAACCCCAGCAAGTGAGATGCATTGTTTACATTATACCACATGGCACAATAAACTAGTGAGAAGCTGTTTCTGAAGTTGTTTTGTACTGAGCTTGGTATTTTCAACCATCATTTGGTCAATTTTATCAAATGATGCCTTCATATAATGTTAGACCATGCTACTCGTGCTACACCTACATAAATTATTGTGTATTATGTACATATGAAAAGTACAAAGTATAACAAACAATGAAATTATTAGTAATTTATCTGTATCATAATATGGTAATTACCACTTATGATAATAGGTTGTTATTGATGGCAGATCATAAATCTTGCATTATAGTTTATACCTATTGATTAACGTGAATGACCTTTGGAACAAAAATTAAACGCACAAGCTAATTTATTGAATATTTCCTATTTTAATTATGAATACCCTTTGAAAATTTTTATTTTGGTTGAGATTGTAATCATTATTGTTTCAATTGTAAGTTGGTTCAGATGTACTCCAAAGATTGTCAATATTCCACCTGTAATTGACTGTGGCAAGGTTCCTGATAGCATATAAGTATGTCATAGGCATCAATGCATTTCATCAACTTATATAAAAAATGGACAATATTTATCTGTCCTTGTTTTAATCCTCCAATAAACACAATAATCTTGTGTAACTCTTGCAGTACAAAATTACGATCTATATCATGTACTTGGTAGCTAAGTCTTTGCTTGAAGAAGACATGGTTTTCCACAAATATGAACAATTTTATGTATCAGAATAAGAATAAGAATATTTATTATTCCAATCAAGGGCCCTTGATGGGCAGCAGAACATGTACACATAAAACAATACATCATGATTTGTAACAGAAAAACATTATTATATATATATATAATATATAGTTTACATGTATGTTGAGCAATTTCCTAGTTTAGAATTGCGCAATGTTTCCAATTTTGCAGGAAACATGATTAAGAATGAAGAAGTTTCAGTTTCAACGTTACATAAATTGTCTTTTGACAGGATATGATACAGAAACCTAACAATATCTTTATGCACATGTAGGCAAAAGGAGATGTTGTAAGAGTTAAAAAAAAATGTTTTAAGTAATAATTCATTTTTTGTTTGTTAAAAATTTGATTAGCAAAAGTGATAAAATCAAGTTAAAACAATGTTGGAGACATCCTCTCCCTAAAGTTTAGGTGAACTTTTAATATTAATGGTTACTTTCAAATCAGTTCAGTTATAATGAGGATTAATTGTTATGAATATCCTGACTTTCCTGTAGTAAGATAAATAAAGAACATATGTAAGATTTTTTGGTAAATCAATTAGCCTTAATATGTTTATGTACTGTTAGGTTACCTATCTGTAATCACCTAGCTAGATGATAAATTAAATTCATATGATCACATGCAAAGTAGAGAGTGTTTCCAGTCTTCTTATTTTCATGATTTTTGTGTTGTCTGACAACAAAGCTGTAGCTGTCATGAAATAGAAATTCCTTCATAATATAAGTTCCTAGAAATTCCTTCATAATATAAGTTCCAAGAAATATTCTGTAATAATATTATTTCCACACAGAATTCCAAAACTGTAGACATGAAGTCATGGAAGTTGAGCAGCTGTTATTTTAATTTTTGATCTCATTGATTTTTTTGGGTTTCCAGACCAAAAAACTGACCACGGTTTTTGTTTGTATTATTTTATATGGGATGGCAGACTCACACATGTTCTTTTTAGTAGTTTCTTTAATTTGTTTGTCTACATACATGTACAATGTAATAATCATAGCTGCACAAAAAAAAATGTGTATATGTAGATATTTCTCAGATCTACAAGTATACACATAGCACTACTACATATATCTATACTTATATATATGAGTGATTAATATTTCATGAACCTACATGTAAACGGTGAACCAAAAAATTACTTTATCAATATTTCATGAACGTTTACTGGGAACAGAACAATTACATTATTAATTAACATTTCATGTGTCTATATTGGGAATTAAAATATGTTCATGATCAAATATTTTGATATGAATCAAAAGTAATGTGTAAGGTGCATACTGTGGATTCATTGATATTCGTTGTGTACCAATTTTCTTGTCTAAATGAACCACAAATGTAAATGTTCTATGAGGTGTAAATTTGTCATATGATTGTATGAAAACTTTGGCAACACCAGAAAAAGAAGTATCAACGAAACAAAATTTTTCTTCAATCCATGAAAATTGGTACCCATGAAAATAAATGAATCCAAAGTATGTCAATGTTGTGTGGCAAATTTTTTATTGACTATTTTAAGCAAAAATTACTGATATTTTTTCCAATCAAAGGGCTGTAGACACCACCCTCAATCTGCCACTGGTTGCTCATCCATTGTCC